TATTCATATTAATGTAGATGATGTTATTGAAAAAGTATGCTACTATCAATTCGAAACAAAATTTATTTTCATTCGGTATCCAACGTTGACTGAGTCCAGTTAGAGAACATATTACTATTTATCTTCAATTGTTAGTTTTTTTTAAATTAAATACATGCTTTTTTTTCTATGTTATTCGACTATTTTTTATCTTATTATATCACAAAGAATTGTTCTGAAGAGTAATACCTTTTAACTTTTCTATGTTCACATTGATATCACATAACGTTTACTCTAATTAAAACATATTTGTATTCTCTAGAAGCAAATCTTTACTGGAAGCACTTACATACAAACATTCGTTCAAACGCTTTTCTAAACTATCCGTTTTTTCTAGAGCAAACGCATTAAAAAGAACAACGTTGTAATGCGTTTCGAAAACATCCGTTTTTTCTAGAAAAAACGCATTAGAAAGAACAACGTTATAACGCGTTTCGAAAAAAACTCGTTTTTCGATCAAAGAAGGCTAAAAAACGCATTTGAATGCAAAGCAAACAAACGCGTCGAAACGCATAAAACGAAACGCATTCAAACAGTGTTTTTAAGTTGCGTTTTAATTTGGAAAAACGCGTTGAACTTACAAAAGGATGCGTTTAAACGCAAAAATAGCGTTTTTTTTCTAAAAGTTTGCGTTGAAACGCATTTTTATACCAAATTTTTTTTCATGGGTGGTGTTGATTATGTCAAAGTGCGGTACAAATTGTTGAGGATTATCTCGAAAAGGTAAGAGAGCATCATGATGACTACCATTATAGTAAATACAAAGTCCTAGTTTATTCATATCGGATTTGTATCCTATATATTTTAGATGATCACCTGCTGTTCCTTTAGCAAATCGATCGACTAGTTCCTGTAAACTAATATTCGATGAAATATAATGTCTAAGTTTTGGATCGCCGTTAAACTGAATATATGAATAGATAGGATGAGATAGAGCCATAGAAAGCGCCTGGATTTGAACTTCTCCACCCCATATTGTATCCATAGTTGTTCTTTTCAACTGTTCCTCAAATGAATACTGCAATACTTTACAAAGTGTTTGGAAATAATCGCTATTATCGATCATTGAATTGACTGCCAACAATCTCATCGAATGGGTTAGTTTTTCAGATCCAATATTTATTATCGAAAGAGAACTATATAAACAATTGCCATCTGCAGTCGTGCAAGTTCTAGCATAAACAGAATCGAACGCTCGAACAGAATATCCTGTTTTCGATTTTAACCGGACGGATTGGTCTTTATTATTCATAGTTATAAATGGTGATTTTTCAATTAAATCATTAATTATTTGAGCTTGACTTGAAATTTGATTAGTCTCTTTAGTATTATTAAAATCAAGTGCAAAAAAAAAAGTGATCCAAAATCTTCCTTGAGTTTGAATCAATAATTTCAGTTTTCGGAAGAAGATTTTTCTTCAGTATCCATCATGTCAGATGGATCATTAACTTTTAGATCTTCCAAATGGAAAGACATATCTAAGTCAATTTGTTCGTTTTTATCGACTGTTTCATGACATTCAAAAACAAATTTCTCATCGACTTCCATCGTGTCAGATTGATCATCAGTTATAACATCTTCAATATTAAAAGGTATATTTGTACGAATGTCTTCGATTTCATCCAAATGAAACTTAGTCAAAACTTTAGGTTTTCTTATCCATATTGGTTTATGAAAACTTGTAAGACTTTCAGAATAATCAGATTTTAAGTCTTTCACATTAGTGAAGCAATAGTCAATCTGCATTTTTGCATTCGTTGAATCTCTATTAAGTGTATTATTCAAACTAAGTCCGAATGATTCCATATATTGAATAAATTTGTTGTTGATTTTGATCTTCAAATTTATATTAAAATCACCAACGACAATAATATTTTGACAAAACCCTTTTGAAATAGTTATAACTTCATTAATATGTCGTTTTAAGATATCGAATGATGAATTCGGTGAATTATAAACGAAAATTATACAAATATCATCAATTTTTATTGAAGAATATTCAATATGGTTTTTGCCTGAATATTCATATCTTTCGGTGATATTTTCGTACTTCAAATCATTTATTTAAAAAATGATTTGACCGAATGGTTTTCTTAGATCATCACAATCACGTCTCTGAACTATCTTGAAACCTTCAATTTCCAAGTTGTCACTTGGTTTTGTCCATGTTTCAACAAGACTTATCATGGAAGAAGACAAAAATGTTTTGTCACACTTAATATCTGAAATATGCTTATTCAATGATTGTATATTATGAAACATAATAGAAAATCTTTCTTCTTGAGATTCTTCAGGAAATTCAAGTGAAAGCTTCAGCATTCGCTCAGATCTCATGTTTTTGAACATCATCGCCACTGCATCATTAGGTTCAGGTGGTTTTGGTGGAACGAAATCGCCAATTAAATATAAACGACTTGCTTTTGTTACATGTCAAGGTGGTACGTATAATTCAGATCGTGTCATCTCTTTCTTGAGGTTGACAACGACTTTTTCATAAGTACCACCTTGACTTTTATATACAGTCATTGCTTCACAAAGAACTAGAGGAAAATGTTTACGTTCTACTTTGAAATTAGTTGATCTTGTATTTATTTGCCATGTTACTGGTTCAATTGGTGTGAGACTGAGATCGATATTTCTATTACGCATTACATTGTGAAAGTTAGCTCTAGACTTTCTTCCAGTCTTCTCCTCACTAAATTTAATCCATAGTCGACATGGTACTGTCTCATTCGTCTTTTGAAGTTTTTCATAATCAATCATTATCAATTTTCCACAGGCGCCATTTACTAATCCATCTTCAGTGTCAATATTCACTGTCATCATATACTTAGCGCCCACTTTCAAATCAATTTGAAGTGGTAAGCCATAGGTTTCAGTTGTTTTCAGATTTTTTATATTGCTTAATACTTTTTCTCTTATTGATGCAGGTCCATCACCAACACAAAAATCATAAGCATTAGCGATTGCACCTTCGGTATTAAGACTGGCCAATACTTTTGTATTATATGCATCAACTTCAGCATTACTTCTAAATATTCTTATTGCATCTCCCATCATTTCCAAATTTTCGTTTGAAACAATTCGTAACTTCAATAAATTAGTATCATCAAGCGTCATTGCACCTTTCGCAATATTACTTAATGCAATAGCGAAAGTCTTATCATCTTTTTTTCTCATTATTTCTGTCAATTCGAACAATTCAAACAGTGACCATAGTGAACTATCTACTAAAGCATTGTATGAATTGTTAAATTGGAATATGTATTTATCACCAACTGGTCTTAATTGATTGAAATCGCCCAAAACTATGGCTGATACTCCGCCAAATGGTTTTTTGAACTTCATTATTTGCTGCAAACGGGCATCGACGTGTTGAAATATTGTAAAACCAACCATTGATATTTCGTCTATGATTAGTAATTGTAGATCTTTCAATTTCACTCCAATTCTATTTGAAATATCACTGCCTAGTTTAACGAGTTTATGTTTGCATTGATTAACTGGTAAACTTAAAAATGAATGCAACGTCATTCCATCAATTGGTGCTGCTGCTTTGCCAGTTGACGCACAGATTGCAGTACGAATAGTTTCTAGATTAGATCCAGGAAGAGAATTATAAAATCTCAGTATCGATTGATATACTGCTTTGATCAAAGTACTTTTGCCAACACCTGCACCGCCATTAATAAAATGAAAAAATTGCTTATCTCCATTTTTTATCAAATTCATCACATTTAAAGTATATCTTCTTTGATTGTTATTGAGACTTCTCATCATTTCCTGATATTCAGTATCTGATATTATTTTAGGAACATTAAAATGTTCAACTTTTTCAGTTCGAGTATTGAGTCCCATTTCAACAAAGATATCGCCTTCATTATTTCCTATTTCATAAATGAGAAATTCATTCCTATCTTGATCATATTCAACATTTGTATCATCGATATCATTTCCAATTTCTCTTTCCATATGCTCTTCAAAAGCTTGCTCAAATTCATTGGCTTCACGATGAACATATTCAGATCTTTTCTGTCGAATCAAATCTTTATGTAATTCAAATGTCTCTTCATGATTTATATGAATAAGGTCCTTTTCCTCATTACTCCATGGCAGAAATAGCATCAGCTGCTCTCTGTAATAATTTTCAGGATCCTGATGTAACTTAAAATTTCTGTATCTTATTATTTTTTTCTTTGTCCTCTTTTTTATCCAACCTTTTCCATTTTTCATCTTCAAAGCAGTATTCTTGCCATCAATTTCATCGTCGACGATATCTTCATTATCAGAATTTTCTATAATTTCAGTATAGCCTGTTTTTTTCTTTGATATATTATATAACGATGCAAAATCAGCTAAACAGACATTTTTCATTTCATCAGGTCGATTGATATACATATCAATCAAGCCTTCAACAAAAACATCTTTTGAGTCAGTCTCCAATTTTTCAAGAATTTCATCTGATTTGAGCATAGAAATTCTAT